TTGAAGATGCCGAAGCTGTTTAAGCCTTCAGACCCTGACTTCTTAGTAGACCACGAAGATTAGTTTAATATGAGGTCTCACTCTCATTAGGACTTTGTATCTATGTTAAATATGCTTGTAGGATCAGACGGAGCCCTTTTCTCTTTGTCGTTTATCCAAGTCGCAGTATACCTTGGAAGATTGTTTTTATCATTTAGCGAATTGTATATTTCAAATCGTACCACATAAAGCTGATCCTCCATCTTTCGCGCTGGGGCTTATCTGATTATTCTCAATTTTAGCAACACAATAATAGATGGTACTGGACTTCTTATGATAGTGAATGATGAGGAGCGTGACTCGTGGACCAAAGGTCTCAACATCTGGCTAATAAACTTGCGAATGCATCCAGAGAAAGAGGCAACTCATTTACCCCATGATTGGAACTGTTTTCGCTTAAAAAATTAGATTGAACGAGAGCCTTGTAAGTAGGTTGAGTTAAATAAAAAATAATTAAGTATATACTGAAATATAAAAAATAATTAAATATATACTGAAATATATTAAATATCGTTTTTAGAAAAAACTAATTGATAGATTTATATGTTGATTTAATTAATTTAATTTATTGATATCTCAAGTCTCGACGTAGTGACATACGGACTACGGAATTTATCTTCCCCAGGATCGCTGTCTTGACATTTTAACTAATTTTATGGCCTTCTTTGGTCTTCTCATTGGCGGTTGCGAGGATTCTTAGTGTGTGTTTGGATTAAAAAATTTAAAATTGAGGTTAGAATTTAACTTAAGTTAGCAAACTGAGGTTAGAGAAAAAGTCAGTTAATATAACGTGATTTATGTTTGGATACTTTTTTTTTAAAAGTCAGTTAAATAAATTGAAATTGTTTGGATGATTTAATTTAAAAGTCAGTTGAGATTTTTAATGATAAAAATAAACATAAATTTTTTGTATATATTTTTTGGCTAATTAATAAGTAAAAAATAATAAACTTAAAATTAGAATTAATAAGTAAAAAATCTTAAATTTTTAACTATGAAAAGATAAAATAAATTCATAAATTATGTTTAATAAGTAAAAAATCTTAAATTTTCAGCTGAGATTTAGTTTTATTTTGAATAATATTTATTTATTTAATAGTAAAAATTTAGGATCCTATTTAAAAAAAGTTTAAGTATCAGAGAATTTTACAAACAATGTATGCAAAAGCTGACGATTTCATCAACGAATTTTAAACCCAAATTAACTGATTAATTAAAATTCTTTAATATTTAAACTTTTTTTAAATGAAATCTTAAGTTTTCACCATTAAATAAATAAATATTATTTGTTATAAATTTAGAAGTTTAAGGTATGTTTTACACATCTTATAAGTTCAGGATCTAGAACGCTTTTTGTGTAATGCCTCAAGGTCTAAAATGCTCAGTAATTCATTTATAAATTATAAAATATTCAATTCTAAAAGATAAAATAAATTGACAAATTAAAAAATCTTAAACTTTTAGAAGTTAGAATAAAATGATAATTTACAAAATATTAAATTAGACTATTAGTTTTCTTAATTCAAATTTATACGTAAACTTTAAAAAAATTATAATATTGCCAATGAATTAATCTCATCTAATTTAATTGAAAAATGAATTATAATATTTCAATATAAAGCATAAAACTCACGTCTAGTTTCATATATTTATGAAAAGGAAAGAAAAAAAAGTACCCTTACGTTAAAAAATGAGCTTCCTGTATGACATTGTAAAAAAATTTGGTTAGTACAATTATGTAACTTAACAAAAAAAACTCTAATTCTATATGTTGAAATCTGTGTAATATTATTTATATGACTTTCTCTTTCTTCTCCCCTATTATAATCCCACCGCTGCGTTTCAAAAGCCATCTTTTATGGCTTCACGCTAAACGAGCGTTTGCCTTCCAACGCTGGTTATAATTTTTTTTGATCCAAACAATATTTATTGAGTTTTTAACATCCTAACTTAAGTTTGGAGCATCCTAACCTAAGTTAGAAGGTTATCCAAACACACCCTTAATTGAGACGCAAAAGGCGTTGCGGCGTGGTTATGATCCCTTGAACCGAATCCGCTAATTGCCTATTTGCTTTTCCCAATCAGTTATGTGTCATAAGGTTCTCTCCACTCTGTTCGGGAAAAAAATTAGTGCATTTTTTTAGACCCTTTGCCTACTGACATGAAATATGCGGCAAGAAAACCCATAAAAAAATAAAAAATAATTTTTATAGTCGAATTGTTTATAAATTATTGGTTAAAGAAATACTATTTGTATACTTTTTGAATTGTATGACCCTTTTTCCAACTTGTATGCGAAAGCAGAGGAAGGAGGAGGAGGAGAGGGGGAAGCGGCAACAAAAGCGGAGGAGGAAGTGATGACAGAACAGGCCAAGGTAGTGGAGATGAAGAAGAGCTCATTGAAAAAATTATAAAAAAAATTATTATTTAAAAAAATCATGATCATCAAATTTAATTTGGAATTTTGTGGTCCTAAATAATTATTTGTAATTTTCAAAGATCATTATTTATAATTTTCGCATAAAAAATAAGTTGGACGGCTTTCCTAAATAAATATATGGACTGAAGCAACAATTCATGCATATCAATCAAACAAGTTTTCATTACAGTTCATCGCTCTTCTCACCTAGTTGTACAATCCAATGTAATTAGAAAATGCTGGTAAAAAAAATGTAGTTTAGAAGAAGCGTTTCATATTATTGGTTATAACATTGACTTGAGCGAACTAATACAGACGCGCACGTAAAAGTCATACTCTAACGCCCCCGTATACCCAAGTCACTCTCAATTAGCTCCATCTATTAGTGAGATATTGGCAAAATGCTCGCTATGATTAACCACGTTAATAAATAGACAAGAGTGGGACATCTATATTATCATGTCGCTTTCATCCCCTTGGAATCTGATTCTCTATAGTCATCCTCCGATCAATTCAAATTTAATAAATAATTAAAGATCTAAATTTGACTCAATCTATGATAAAATTACCGAAAGAATAAAATTGTCTTTAATTATTAAACGAAAACACGCTTGGCTCTCTCTCTCTCTCCCCCTCCCCCCTTCTCTTTCTTCAACCAAAAATTTATACAATATTGATGGTCGTGGTCTTTTTTGTTTTTTTTTTTTTGGTAACACGAGCAATTGTAACAAGGCAAGTACAAAAATCATCAGAAATTTTTAAGCTTTTTCTATCTCTCTTTTTTAAAAAAAATTGTTGTATTAGAAAGTTATAAGGAACGCTAGTTTATTTGTGTTACAAAACATTTTAAGGTTATTACTATCTATATTTTGAATATTATGATGATCAAACTTTAGTCTATTTACCACTATATAAATCTTAAATCTCAATAGTAAGTAAATTATAACCCGTTTATGTTATCTAGAAAGATTATTTAAAAGTATTATTGTTAAGTCTGAGATTTATATTCATTTAACGTAAAAATAAAATTATTTAGTCTCTAAAAATAATTTTAAGTTCGGTCAAAGTTGGGTCAGTGAACGTCAGTTTCTTAATTTCTAAAACCGTGCATCCTCAAACGTTATGACGTTTATGAAATAGTCAAAGTTTTTTTTTTTCCCCTCGCCTGTTTTTTCTAATGGTTGCATCAGTCACGTGTATGATGTATCACTTCTTTTTAGCATTCAAATTTTAATTCGTGAAGTTGTCAGGGTTTTTTTTCTTTTTTTAACTAAATCTATCTCCCATTGATTTTCATACTTATTTTATTATAACATCTTTGTTTGAAAATTCAAAATGTGGATGAGAAGAAAAAAATATGTTGAAGTTGTGATTCATAAATTTTTATAATTTTTTATTCTTTTAATAAAATATAAAACCTTTTACTCCCTTCGTTTAAAAATGTAAGGTATTTTTAATCTTTCGAGGTGTAATCATTGTATTTTTTTTTAAAAATGCCTCTATTGATAATGACTTTATATTCATTGTAGGGTATTTAATGGGGATAAATATAAAAAGATAGAATTAATTAAAAAATAAGTAACTATTTTATTTAGAGATGAGTTTCGATTAAAAATATTTTATATTTTTAAATAAAAAAATATTTTTTTTACTTCAAAAAAATTTACTCCCTCCATCCCCAATTATTAAAACTTTTGGAAGGAGATTTGACGTCTCAAAATATAAAACACTTAAAAAAATTAAGATTTTATTAAATAAATTTATTCTAATATTACATCTTCTCTTTGTATTTAATTTTTATTATTTTTTGTTTTCAACATATTAAATGAATAGTATTTTTAAAATTTTATATTTTTATTTTTTAAAAAATAAAATTATTAAATATACTTAATAAGATTTATTAATATATAAAATTTTATTTAAAAATATTTTATGATTTAAAATGAGAGAGTATTATCTTTGCCTGAGTAACTAGCACCATAATCCGATCTGCATGGGGATTTACAATTAACAAAACGTGGAAGTGGGGGGCATCTTTTATGGATAAACAGTGTATACAATTTCTATGAAACAGTTAATAAAATAACTTTTTCCAGGCAAAAGTATTTTAATTTTTAAATATTTTTAAATTTATTTTTCAAATAAAAATTTGAATTTAATTTAATTAATCTCAAAAAGACTGTCTCTCTTTAATTTTTTTTTTACCAACACTATCTCATTTTAATTCAATCCTAAAAAAATCTCAATCCAATCATTTATTTTTTAATTAAAATAATCCCAAGAAGGTATTTTCTCATGGCGCATTTTTTGAGGCCAGTTCTTGCCTCATGATTCTATCGTCCCAAGGGAGTAGGGACAAGAAGGATATCAACCCATGAAGTGCTGTACTTGGTGAAAAGGGAACGTCCACATGTATTCGAATGCATATTCAACACGAAATATGGAGAAATATTTTTACATTGTTTTAAAAATACTTGTTTAAAAGTTAAGATGCTCAGAATGCAGCTTGTAATTTTTCACGTGACACCAAACAATACAAAGCAAAGTGACAACTCTTAAAAGTTACTGCAAAAATGGGAAAACACGATAAGGAAGCATTTTCGCTTAACACGATAAGGCAAAGTGGCCATGCATTGCTTGGCTTCTACTTTCCCGGTTCATCTTTGAAGGTCTGAGGCTCAGTATTGCAATTTTTTCTTTATTTTCCCAGTCACCATCTTTGTGCATAGTGGCATCAAAAGAAACGACAACCTCATCTCTAATTTTGTTTTTTTGTTCTTCTGGGTTGAACTTGAAGTAACGGTTGCAACCATTTCCACTTGCTAGAAGAAGACAACGTTCTCCTGAGATTCCCACTCCGGCCATGGCTGTTCGAAGGCTTTCCTCTCTGCTTTCTCGCTCTCTGTCGACTTCTTTGCTTCACTCTCCAGGTGAATGGACAAATAAACCCTTCTTCATTTTCTCCTTTACAGCTTCGCCTCCTCCTTTTTTTATTTTTATTCCTCGTTGTTCGGCGGTAATTTTTTCATGGGTTTTCTGGATCTCGACGATGACTATTTGCGAACTCTCTGCTTTTGTCATTTTCCACTACTGAAGTTCTTCTCTTTCTCTTCCTTTGGGCTTTAAGGATGATAAACTTTTTGGATTCCTCTGAATCTAATTCACAAGATTTCGTCAGTATCAGATTTATTCCCAGATAATCGGAACAGTTGACTTTTGTAGACTAGTCGTGGAGTCTTCTCAATTTCTCTTTATATATTTTTGCGTGCGAGCTCGCGCAATTAGTAAGAATCTGTATGTGTATATTAAATGTTGTGGTTAATAATTGCTCAGTCTGAATCCAGTTGTTCAATTCATTGTTTAAAACTCGCACATAAATTCTTCGGCCCCAGGAAGAATCTGTGGTAGGTGGAGCAACTTGAACAGATTTAGCACTGCAGCAGCAGCAGAGGAATTAATTAGTCCCCAAGTTGAGATAAGTTACACACAGCATCTAATAAATGGCCGATTTGCCGATGCGGCTTCAGGTATGTCTGCTTATATCTTGTTTTAACTTTCAATAAATGTTGAGACTTCTGCCACTTGTTAGGCTCCAGGGGAAAGCTCTCCCATTTTTTTTTCCCACCGAAACTTTAGTCTTAATGTTTTATTTTATTTTCACTATTGACTAATTCCAGTTGGGTCAAGATCCAATTGGAGTGAAAGCTCACAACATCTATAATTTTTTTCATCCTTTTTGGATTTAACTAAGGGCTGTTACAGTGTTAGTCTCTTACCAATTCTTTTAGTGATGGCGAATCCACACAAATGAACTGCATTTTTTTAACCTTTTTTCTTCTCTTCTCTTCTTGCAGGGAAAACTTTTCCAGCATATGATCCACGCACAGCAGAAGTGATTGCTCATGTTGCTGAAGGTGATGCTGAAGATATCAATCGTGCAGTGTCAGCAGCTCGCAAGGCCTTCGATGAAGGACCTTGGCCAAAAATGACTGCTTATGTAGGCGCTTCCCGCAGTCATTTGTCTTCACTTGCACGATCTGGAATCTATTCATCACTTAGGTCACATTTGGTTGCCGGAAATAAATGAAATGAAATGTATTGAAAAAATAAAGGTAAAAATGAGAGGATTAAAAGGAATAGTAAATCACGTTCATAAAGAAAAAAGGTAATTTAGTTCATGGGGATGAGAATTATAATTCATAAAATTTTAAAGGGTGTGATGATTCTCATATTGTAGTATAAATTAATGAGTTTTATTACGCTTATCATGAAGAGGAAAAATGATTTAGTTTATTTTGTGTTGATTTTTTCAATTCATTCCATTCCATTCGTTTCTAATAACCAAACCTGACCTTAGTTCTTATTGTATGACACCTGCAGGAAAGATGTCGGATATTGCTGCGATTTGCTGATCTGGTCGAGAAGCACAGCAATGAGCTTGCTGCTCTGGAGACATGGAACAATGGGAAGCCTTATGAACAATCACTGAAGGCTGAACTACCAATGTTTGTGCGTCTGTTTCATTACTATGCCGGTAGGAAGGATCAGTGAGGACTAGCTATTAGATGCATCTCTTCATTAGCCATTTACGTGTTTATATAGTTTTCTTAGTATATTCGTCTTCCAAATGATTCAGGTTGGGCGGATAAAATCCATGGTCTGACAGTCCCTGCAGATGGAGACTACCATGTGCAGGTGTTGCATGAGCCAATTGGTGTTGCAGGACAAATCATACCTTGGAACTTTCCTCTCGTTATGTTTGCTTGGAAAGTGGGCCCAGCCCTAGCTTGTGGTAATACCGTTGTCCTCAAGACTGCAGAGCAAACTCCTCTAACTGCTCTGTACGTGGCAAAACTATTGCACGAGGTAGGCTCGTAGGCTATGTACACTGCCAGTCATTGAATTATCATCTATATCCTAGGCACTTGCTGTGTTAGATTTTTTAGAGTATCTTAGTTGTTTTTGAAGTTTCATGCTAAAAGTGTTTAACTTTGAATGTACTTGATTCTTGTCAGGCTGGTCTTCCCCCTGGTGTTTTGAATGTGGTTTCTGGGTACGGTCCAACTGCTGGTGCAGCTCTTGCAGGTCATATGGATGTGGACAAGGTATTCCAGATAACAAAATGTCTTCGACCTTGCTTGTATGGTATTGGCCTGCAGGGTTTTGTAATTCAAGAATGAATTAGGTCTAGGCTTGATATTGAGGATGCTTTTATTTTAATTATCTGGGGTTCAGGCCATAAAACAATTCAACGTACTGTCATATGCATTCTTTTTCCATGGCATTGATTTGATGATCTGAAGGTCCATATCGGGCTGTGGCAGATTTAATACATTAGTCCTTATCATTTATTGCAATAGGTCATGATTACTCATCAAGGGGAGGGAAGGCAAGAAAATTTTTGATATTCTCGTTTTTATTTCCACATTATCGCCATATTTTGATTCATGAACTCGTAGCTGCAGTTGGAGTGGCTTTGCTTAGCTTGCATTAACATGAAATGTCAAGCCGAAAGAAGTAAAGTGTTTGGACATGGATGTTTGGGGCTACTGTATATTTTTCTGTAATATATGTTTGCTTGTTGCGTTTTGGTCATAACAAATAACTCCACTCATCGAAACTGGATTTGGAATCATGTTATCATAACATTGTGCGTTTGCTTGTTGTCTAAATCATGTGGATGTGTCTACTTCTCATCTTGGCAGCTAGCATTCACTGGATCAACCGACACCGGAAAAATTGTGCTTGAATTGGCTGCAAGAAGCAACCTTAAGCCAGTGACGTTGGAGCTCGGAGGGAAATCGCCTTTCATAGTATTTGATGATGCCGACGTTGACAAGGCTGTTGAACTTGCCCACTTTGCTCTGTTTTTCAATCAGGTTTTCCAAGCATTTCTCTCCCGTAACTGCTTATGTAGGAATTGGATCCTTGAAAGTTTCCAAAGAAAACCACCTCAATGCTTATGGACAATGCGCTATTGGGTGCTTTCTAGGGACAATGTTGCTGTGCTGGGTCTCGCACTTTCGTACACGAGCGAATCTACGATGAGTTCTTGGAGAAAGCAAAGGCACGTGCTATGAGACGTACTGTTGGCGATCCCTTTAAGAAAGGTGTGGAACAAGGTCCCCAGATCGACGTGGAACAATTTGAGAAAGTCCTTAGGTACATAAGATCTGGAATTGAAAGCAGGGCCACCCTTGAATGTGGAGGTGACAGAATCGGTTCAAAGGGTTTCTTCATCGAGCCGACCGTCTTCTCCAATGTTCAGGTATACAATAGAATCTAATCTAACGTACATACCCATATCATTTGTCAGAACTGGTTTTCATATTATATGAAGGATCAGTCTTACACATTTTAACGATCAGGATGATATGTTGATAGCGAAGGATGAAATCTTCGGCCCCGTTCAATCCATATTGAAATTCAAGTGAGTGACGGGCACACTCTCTGTTGTGTCAGTCCATGCAACTTGCTTCTGAGCTGTATTATATTATAATCCTGTGATTTCTTATAATAGGGACATTGATGAAGTGATACGGAGGTCAAATGAGACGAGGTATGGTCTAGCTGCAGGAGTGTTCACGAAGAACGGGGACGTAGCCAACAGAATGATGAGGGCACTGAGGGTGGGAACGGTGTGGATCAATTGCTTCGATGTGTTCGACGCTGCAATCCCTTTTGGTGGCTACAAGATGAGTGGCATGGGCAGAGAGAAGGGAATCTACAGTCTTAACAATTACTTGCAGGTCAAAGCCGTCGTTTCGCCATTGAAGCACCCTGCTTGGCTCTAAATCCCTCTCTTCCACTCAACTTCCTCTGCTTTTCTTCCTTCTACATGCTTTGAATAATCGGAGTGTTATGGATTGGATCCGCCACTTAGGTTTGAATTAAAAGTGCTTTGTTCATGTCTACAACCAATCTGCATGCGGGTTAGTTTTTCATGTTACTGTAGTACAGGGGCCTAATATAAACCTCTTTTGATGATGTTTGACACTAAGTTGCAAAGCTTCAATTTTTGTCAATTAAATGAATTAAAGCGCGTCTCAATCAAAGCGACAATTTATCGTCTTTCAACTTTCTTAAAGTGGGTCCAGAAACGGACACGCTTCCCCCTCAAGTAGGTTAGATAGCGATCAAATCATATATGCAAGATTTTTTTTTTTTATAAATTCGTATAATACAAAGCTGATAATTATTTTGCAAGATGACAGAGCCTTATATAACCTGGCATTACATGGCTGGTTTCCCGTCCACGTCATTATCTTTGATCATAAGCAGCCATTTCAAGAAGCTGCCACCATGAACCAGGATAAGTAACCAGTACTTATGTTGGTTACTTTCTTTATTAGTAATTTGACAGGGACCCATCTGGCCATTTGCGCTGTAAACCGACAATATCTGGACGACTTCAATTTAAAGGCTTTAACAGTTTAGCGTGGGAAAGTTTGAACTTTAAACTAATTATATTTAAAAGTAGTTTATATCTAATCTTTTTTGATTATCGTGGATATTAAAAAATGAATCCCAGGCCATGCAATGAACCCGTAGCCTTGTCCTGATACAACGCCGACAGAAGGAGTAAATGAGAATGTCTCCTCTTTGAATCAATTGTTCCTCTTTTGATTTGTTACGATATCCCGAACCACTAATCTGGTCAGCGCCAACCTTCTTCGCTCCTAACACCCTTCCGTTGTTCTTGTTCCCTGAGGCACACGTCGACCTCTCATCCGACCACGTGTCAAGGTCGGTTATCGGGGCCTACTTCCTGGACCTATCACTTCGGACTCACCCTATGCCACGTCCCCATTTTTTAATTTCGGGATCAAGTCCTTACAGTGCAGATCCCAGATTCTTTGCCACGTGTCCTCTTCATGGACTTTTTTATTATAAACCATCCTTCCTATAAGGCTATCATTGGATGTTTAAGGGCTTATCGGTTCAATCCCGTGTGATATATCCAAAGGAGTTTTCCTTTTCTCCCTTCACGAATTCTCATTCCCTTCAATGATCAATGCATCCAATCAATCAGGCCGCCGTATTCTGTCATTCCCGGCGGTTCATCCCTGCGAAGGCGTGTCTCCGGCCGCCCTTCTCGCTTCTCTGATCTCACTCTCTCAGACCATATGCAGTTTCCAATCCGAGTTCTTCCCCACCCAACGTCGAAATTCCAGAGAGATAATTCGCCAACTTGGTATCATCCTCCTCTTCCTGGAGGAAATTCGAGATCGTGGTGTCCCTGTAAGGGACTCTGTTGCTCTCTGCTTCTCCGAGCTTCACCTTACTCTCCAAAAAATTCACTTTTTGCTCTCAGATTGTACTCGTGATGGTGCTCGGCTGTGGATGCTCATGAAATCGGAACACGTCGCCACTCAATTCAGGGTTCTGACTCGCGCGTTAGCAACTGCTCTTGATATTCTGCCTCTGAGTAGCATCGAGATTTGTGACGAAGTAAAGGAGGTAGTGGAATTAGTTGCTAAGCAAGCTCAGAAAGTGAGGCTCGAACTAGACCCACACGATGAACTCGCCACCAAGCAGGTCCTCTCAGTTTTGAATCAGTTCGATAGAGGAAAAGAACCCAACTTGAGTACCGTGAAGAGAACCTTGAGCTACTTGGGAATACAAAATTGGAATGATTGCAACAAAGAGATTAAATTCTTGGAAGATGAAATCAACTTTACCTACTCTGAAGGTGACGAGAGGGAGGTTCCTTTTCTGAGTAGTTTAGTTGGGTATTTATGCTATTGCAGGGTAGTGATTTTCGAAACTCTGGATTTTCAACAAACCGCCACTGACCCATCGGAGATGAGGTATAGCACGGAGATGATTAACTTCATAAACCCACAGGACTTTCGATGTCCGATCTCTTTGCAACTGATGACCGATCCTGTGACTGTATCAACTGGCCAGACGTACGATCGAGCATCCATTCAGAAATGGCTCCAAGCTGGAAACAGGACATGCCCAAAAACAGGGGAGAAGCTCGCAAACACGGAGCTCCTCCCAAACACGACCCTCAGAAAGCTAATCCACCAGTTCTGTGCCGATAACAGAGTTTCCGCCGCCAAGTCCGGTCACCGGAGTCGCGACATAACGAGAACCATCGTCCCCGGTAGTACAGCTTCGGCACACGCCATGCAATTCCTTTCATGGTTCATTGCTAGGAGGCTTGTCTTCGGAACAGATGAGCAGAAAAACAAGGCAGCTTACGAAATTCGAGTGCTTGCAAGGTCCAACATTTTCAACAGAGCATGTTTGGTTGAAGTCGGAACAGTGCCCTCGTTAATCAATCTCCTGGACTCGGATGATAAATCAACACAAGAGAACGCAATCTCCGCTCTACTGAAGTTGGCAAAGCACACCAATGGACAGAAAACGATAATGGAAAGTGATGGACTAACACCAATCCTCGTGGTTCTCAAAAATGGAATTACTTTAGAAGCTCGTCAGACTGCAGCTGCTGTAATATTCTACCTTTCTTCCACGAGAGAAAACAGGAAAATAATTGGAGAGAACCCTGAAGTAATCCCAGCGTTGGTAGAACTAATCAAGGAAGAAACAACAGCCTTCGGGAAAAAGAATGCCATAGTCGCCATTTTCGGGCTTCTCTTGCTTCCCCAGAATCATCAGAAAGTGCTTGACGCTGATACTGTTCCCACGCTAGTCAGTATCTTAGCTTCGTCAGAAAAATCCGACCTTACCACAGATTGTTTGGCGGTTCTTGCAGCGTTGGCGGAGAACTTGGAGGGAGCAAACGCTATGTCAAAAGCATGTGCTTTGCCTTTGATCTTGGGGATGTTGCAGACAGTAACACGGCGCGCAGAGAAAGAACATTGTGTGGCTATTTTGATGTCGATGTGCATGCATATCGGAGAAGAGGTGGTGGGTGTTCTGGCGAAGGATCCTTCGTTGATGCCATGGCTTTACTCGCTGCTCACCGATGGTACTTCTCATGCGGCCAAGAAGGCGCGTTCTCTGATCAGAGTTCTTCAGGAATTCAACGAAACTAGAACTTCTAGGTGGGTTGGATCGTCCGTCGTGCCAGAACGATCCCTTCACATTTGGTGAATACATATACAGATCACAAATAATAGGGTACAGATTTGCAGATACTGTGTGCATAATAATACTGATTGATCTAATACAAAAATTTGAAAATTATGGAATTGGCTCCATGATTTTTTTCCCCGTCAAGGAGCTAAGCTCGACGAGTAATGCTAGTCATCATCGATGAAGTTTTGTGAAGATAGATCCAAGAATGACGTACTTGGATTCATTCAGTTAAGATGTTGCGTTTGATTCTAGCTCAATTGTTGAAATAACATAGAGAATTGGTCTTCGCTATGTGCATATTTAGAAAGCTTTCTTTTGATTTTGGGCTATAATTCAGTGGAATTATAAATTTTAGTTCTATGATTGTGATGTTTTTTTTTTATATGAAACTAAACATATATTTAGAAATTTGAAATTGCGATAGAATATACTATGCTTCAATTTTCCTTCCTGCAAGGTAGGGATTTATGTTTACATATTTGTCATTATTATGTATCCATAAAAAGATCAACTGTATCGTTAAGATGAAGATGGAGTGTTACTATTCATTAATGAATGAATGTAGACGTTAAAAAGGAGGAGGAAATGGATTACCTTTTCCCTTCAATTAAACTACAAACTATTTTTTTTTTTAGAATTTTAACCGTTGACCAAAATCAAATCTTTCTTCACTTACCATCAAGTATTAACATTTCTTTTATCATCACATTTGATAGTGTGATTGAACGTGGGTCAAAAAGTGAGTAAAATTTTAAAGTAAGATGATCGGAATAGAGATAGATACAAGTCAAAATTAAAAAGATGATTCATTAAAAATTATGAAACACATCTATATTTGACCTCTCAAACGGCTACCTATAATGAGGAAAGTGAATATGAAAACAAGGGACAATATGATAAAATTACAACAATTTTCAAAAACATGCATCATGTCAAACGTCAGTTGATTCAATTTTTACAAAAGAAAAAAAAACATAAAGGGAGCAAAGAACGATATAAAAAATACTCTTCAATCCGTTATCATGTCATCTTCCCTTTACATTTCCTAAGGTCATTCTCACTTTCTAGTTTCTATCCATTAGTCGATTTAGGTTTAATGTTTGCATATTTCATTGTACATTTGGCGTAGCCAGTAGTCTCTCTGTTTAATTAAAGTATTTTCATTTTACTATATCATATATTTAGCTCGCATCATGGCACGGGGGAAACTGTGACAAGGGACTGTTTTCATTTGATTAGAACTTAGTTTACTCATTGGGTCACTTGTTCTCGCACACCTTATGCATTTTTATTTTATTTTTTTTGGGGGGGTGGGGCCCAAAAAATGTTTAAGCGTTTTTCTCAATGCAACCTAAGAACGTTATTTTCCAGATGCTTTTGAACCATTGCACGTCCATGGATGTAAGCTTTTGAGTCAATGTAAGGTTCACGAATGTCTAGATCTTTTTCCCCCAAACATTCACTAATTTAGTAATTTAACATGTAAAGTATTTACCCAAAAAAAAAATCTATTCTGTTTCTCATATCAACAATGGCAATAATGAAAGATTTATCCCGCTGAATGAGATTGACTCCTATTTCATATATCATCTATGCATTTATTTATAATAACAACATAACAAAAAAGTCCTTTTTTATGTGGTATACAAGTTGAATGTAATTTTTATTGATTAATTTCTTGGCGGCGTTAAAAAGAAATGGGAGAAAAGTAACGGAAAAAGGGGAAGGCCTGTTGAGCGAGTTAACGACGCCGTCTTGTACCTACATTTGCAGCGAAAATGGCACATGCCGGGTTCGTCTGGAACCTCCGTCACAAGAATCATTGTCTTCTCCCGTCTCGTGCGGTAATTGAACTCTTGCTCTTGATTTCTGAATCCCTCGTCTTGGTTTGGTGACCTCCCTTTTTCTCCATTCGTTTTCAACTCTAGGGTTTTCTTTTTCTTTTTTTCTCATTTCATTACCCTTTGCTGCAGACTCTGGTTTAACTATGGCGACCGAACCAAAGCAACCTACTGAAGACGTCAAGATTGATCTCTTCGAGGACGATGATGAGTTTGAAGAGTTTGAAATCAATGAAGGTAATCTTAGATGATCTCTTCTTGATTCAATTTGACTTTCCGCCCTCACCGACCATCTTTTGCCAATGAATTTCTCTACTTTTTGATTCTTCATCTAATTCGGTACTGCTTAGTTGCCGCCGACGTCCTCCTTCTTTGATCCCTATAATTCAGTTTTTCATTCTACCTGATGCTTCACCAAACTGTTACGAGCAACCTCGAGTGATTAGCTTCCATTGCGGATACTGCTCATATACGAAGAACTCAGGAGTTTTATCATCGATTTGCATGTTCTTTTGCTACTTGTGTAGTGTTGCGTGCCATAAACCCAGCAGGAGAGGTTTTCTGTGACTGCCCGTGTTTGCTTTCAAACTATTTAGATGAGCAGATTCCTTCCAAATGGGTGGATTTTCTTCACGTAGCATACATCCTAATCTAAGTTATTTCTCGTGAGTCATAATGCGGAATAGATCTAGTTCCTCATGGTGTTGATCTGGTCACTCATTTAATTATCAGCGCCTCAGGGTACAAATGATAGAAATAAGAGAATTCTTTGAAAATTGTTGGGATCTTAATGAAATCATACATAAATTTTATATGTTTTAAGTTTTTGAAATTGGATTCTAATACTTCTGCCGCTGTACTCAAATTTTGAGTTTCTTCCTGTTTCTCTTGTCTTATATTGTTAATGCGACTTTTAGAGTGGGACGAGGAGGAGGAAGGGAAAGAAGTGACCCAGCAGTGGGAAGATGATTGGGATGACGATGATGTTAGTGATGATTTTTCTCTTCAGCTGAGGAAGGAGCTGGAAAGCAATGCTGAAAATGAAAAGAAGTAAAACCATTGGCTATTCGCAGTTGCTTGATGTTTCAAATGCATTGTGACTGAGTTATTTGATCTCGATGTACTTTTCCAAGGAATTATTGTTGCCTGCAAAATCAGTAGCACGAACGCTATTCGTAGGCAGCAAGGATTGTTAGATCAGAACATAAAACCATTCTTATTCTGTACTTTCAAAATAACATGGCAAGGAAGGTGTTAGATGTTTGTACTTTAACTGAGTTCTGTCTCGCTTGCCCTCAATACTTGGCCTTGCCAATTTCCACATCGAATCATTCTGCCTCATTTTTGGCGACTTTTTCAGGCATAATGTTGTTTGGGTATATGTTTATCTGTTTCCAATTGTGCCAAAAGACTCACTGGTGCACTTGCATTGTTGTCGTTTGTCTTGCTCGTTGATGGTTCCAAGGCTTAAACCATTTTTTTTTTTTGGCATTTGCTAGTTGGATGATCTCATAACAAGAACAAAATTAGCATGTTTCGGGGTTATTTTATATCGTAGTCCAGTGGAATTTTAGACAAGAATTCGGTTATTTTTTCAATACAAATAATAGTACTTGAATTTTTCAGATATCTCGCTTGGCATATTGTTTACTCCTAGATTTGGAGTGTCAAAGGGAATAGTGAGTACCAGCGAGATCTGAAAATTTGCGAATTCGCGTGGTGTTGAAAAACTTGATACTAATTCTTTTATCTTTTGGTGAAAATGCAAATGAAGGATGACAATTAAGAACCTCGTAACAAGATTAATGTAAAATGGGGATCTTTTAGTTGTAAATTAATAAGTTTGAGTTCTAAAATTTTAAAATTTCAGCCGTGCATAAATCCTAATTGTACATTATAATTCCTTTATAAGCTCCTTGATTAATTGTCATTCTCCCAAATGCAAATTCTCCTTGAAAGTTAAGATTTATCTTAAAACTACTAGTGATTTAGAATTAGACTCTGTAAATTTTAACAAAACTCAAATTAGCGGACTGTATATATAATTGTTGCAAAAATTACTCGTTTTTCTTTGCAACATTTTCTCTGCCGAACATAAGAACGAAGGGGGCAGCAAGATGCAAGTCGTTACAATTTGCTAATTAGTTGCTATTGCCTACTAATGTTTTATTATTGAAGGAATGAGTGAAAATCTCAAATGTACTGCACCGGACGAAACTGGTTACTTCCGGACAATCAAAATATGACGGAAAAAAGGCCAAGCTATGGCTCGGTACTTGTATCAATTAGGCAGCTGAAAAAGACCAACGCATCGCCATATTTATAATGGTTTTGCTATTTTTGCTGAACAAAAAAGTGATGTGCAAGACCAAATATGTGTATTTAATTAACGTTGATCACTATAAAGGAATCTAAAACTGGCATGAGAAACGAGACGAAAAACAGAGACTACCACACAATGAATAGTTTTGATCTATACAATCTCAATCCCACCATTTTGTGAAGCAGCAGCCTGTTCGGTACCAAGCGTGGGAATGATCTGCGAATGAACCCATGTTCTGCAAATAGGACAAATGGGTGTTTTGAGGATCCACGAATCTATGCAGCAGACATGGAAGCTATGGGAGCAATTAGGCAAGAACCTGCAAATATCACCATCTTTCAAGCTCTCTAAGCATACTGCACAGTCCACTGTGACATTGCTGCTACTCACTTCTGCTTTCTCTGCTCCCTTGTACTCAAAGCATGGAAGATCCTTCATCTCCTCGCCTGACATTATTGATCTCTTCGTCCCAGTTCCATCAAAATCACCATTGCCCTGTTCTTCAATCCCGCCTCGATTCCCTCTGCGCAGAGCCCTCCCCACGATGCACACGTGGATCAACACCAAAGCCGCGATGCCCAGAAACAGTAGAATCAGACAAATAATAACCTCCTTCATCATCATCAATCTCAGAACCCAGAATCCAGTTGCTGACTTTTCTTTCTGTCTTCACAATGTGTGATATTCTTAGTGTGTGAGAGTGACTCGGCGGCTACGGCAAAGTATGTTGGTCGCATCGGCCGAAATAGAAGTCAGAGAGAGAGAGAAAGGCGCAACAAAAAGCTGAGAGCTTGTGCCGTTACGATATGCATCCATGTTATGGACGGCGGGGAGGCACAGCTCGAGAGAAAGGTACCCAAATAAAAGAAAGCAGAGAATTTTAAAAGCGAAGGATGATGAATAGTATAATGCAAAACAATAGAGCAGCGATTTCATGTGTCGTTCAAGGTGGTGCGTCCAACAGCAAATCTTTGGTAGCCGTGTGGGCGCCACTCATCTCATGTCTCTTTCTGTTTATTCAAATCCCAATTCTCTCAACTAATTCATCTCTTCTAATGCCAACCCCTTTCTATAATGAAAGTTGACCTCAATTTAATTTGCTTCAGGGATAAGATCCCAACAGTTTTAAACCATTTGTTTTTCCAAATATGTTAGTACAAATTTACCTAATAAACTCTTTAACTTGACTTGGACAATTGTAACTTGTTGGAATCTTCTATTGTAATATGTCATCCATTTTAGAGAAAGTGATATAATATATTTTTTTTTTTAATATATCATAATATGTCAACAATTGTAACTAGTTTTGTTATCATATATGTCCTTCATATTGACGATGGCAAACAATTCAGTTTGTTGAATTATTAATTATCAAGTAGGTTGCCAAAAATAATTTGGTTGGATGATATGGACAACATCCCTGACAAGTAATCCAAATTAATAATGATGTTTTTTCTTGCACAAAAGAAAACCATTTTATAATAAAAAAAAATTCACACACTAATCAGAAAAGCAAAAACAAAGCACCAAGAAGTACAACAAAAAAACCAGAAAAAAACAATAAAAAGTACAACTTAAGAAAGTAAGAAAAAGCCAACGATACAACCTACAGAAAGCAATAAAGGAATACAAAGGAGAAAAAACAAAACCAAGCTCAAGCCTTCAACCAATATCTACACGTTTCTGCAGCCTATTCATTACACTTCGATTAAAATCAATTTTCCTTGAATCAGCCAACAGCACTGAGAACAGAGGAGATGGAGCTTCTTCAAGCCATCCGTTGGGATACATCTCCCTCACTCCTTTAGCTGCTAACACATCAGCACCAGCATTCCCTTGGTGTTGAACCAAAGAGAAGCAAATATTAGGATTAGATTCAAGCGAACAAAATACATCACGAAGCATAGTCTCAGATTTCCATTCACACCCCTCCACAGACATGCAGGAAATGAGTTTAAACAAGGCCTTGCAGTCTGTCTCAATACAGATCCTAGCATTTAGAAAATTATCACATGTCTTCAAAGCCTCAAATAAAGCCTGACACTCAACAGAAAAGGCAGAATCAGCCACAACTCTCTTGGATAAACCCCGCACAAATATGCCATCACAATTTCTACATACCACTCCGATACCTCCTACATTACTGTGCAAAAACTGTTTACTTCATGCACGAGAATTCAATTTAAAACTGTTCAGATTAATTGCAAAAAAAAAAATCAAAATACAATTAACATCAAATATATTTAATTTAATATTTTTTTGACATATTTTTAAATTTTCGCCTACGATTATATGACTTATTAAATCATGAATCATTTATCCAAAAAGAAATGGAAATGTGGAAGTTAAGAAAGCATAATGAATGCAGACGTAAATTGAGACCGTGAATTAATATGATGCGCTGACCCACGGTGTTGTGCCATTGTTGTTGTTGTTTTTTGTTTTTCTTTTTTTTTTGGCCAAAATTCTGTAATGTTTGTGTTTGAATTTAACCACACTATTCATAAATCATATAACCATATAAATAACGTGTCTTTTTTTTTTTTTAAATTAAAGGGTAGGCACTAACAACCTAAGGTTACAAGCAGGATCAAACCTACAACCTCTCACTTACAAAAAGTTCCATGCTATTAGGTTTCAAGGCCATTAGCTATGACTTGTTTTTTAAATTATATACAATATATGAAACCCATTAATCTATTTAATTTTGACCGATTTCCTAATAAATCTTTCTTTTTTTTTCTTTTTGCATAACTAAATTGTGAATTCATACTATACATAGTGAATTTACAAGTCACGAATGGTGTTCTATATATACTGGTGATCCAGCTGATTAACATAGCGATGAGAACCTCATGAAAAACGAATTGGGTTGGTCAGTCAAGCGAAATTACGAGATTACCCTTGAAGAAGAACTGGCAAAGACTACATTTTAGTTTCCGATAAAATCGGGTCATAAAGATGATCATGATTTTTCAGAAGATGAAAATAAAAGAAAAGGTAAGGGTTCTATTTTTGTGGCAAAGAGAATGAAAATACTTGGTTGAATTTGAAGCCGAGTCAGTAAAGTCCGTGGAAAGAGATATATCGCAAACTGCTTGCCAAGTTGTTGACCAAGTCCACAAACTCACTCCTAAAATAACTCATCGTTTTTTCCCCTTTTTTAAGCATATTACCTATATAACGAATAACGGATCTTATTCTGTCGTCTTTACCTCACCATTGTCCTTTGGTTCTTCTCTCTTTCGAGTTTCTTCTTCCAACTCTGCCACCATGGCTAACACTGACCTCGCCAGAACCGTCATTGGAATAATTGGTCAGTCCACCAAAGCCTCTTCACTTTCAACACACAGCACTCTTCCCTTGTTTCGCTCTCTAATAAAAGCTTTAGTTGAAAAGTGAATTAATCAGAGAATTCATTTGCAGGAAATATCATCTCTTTTGGCTTATTCTTGTCTCCCCTGTAATGTCCCTATCATGACTCTGTTTCTCTATTCATAAACTTGCTAATAATTTATTATAGGGGAAGGTGGGCTTGACATGATTGTTCTGAATGTGGATGCAGCCCAACGTTTGTAAGAATATACAAGGCAAAGTCGGTGCAAGAGTTCAAGCCTGATATCTATTTGGCCACAATTGTGAATTGTTTGATGTGGATGTTCTATGGATCTCCACTTGTGAGCAAAAACAACATCCTTGTCCTCACCACCAATGCCATAGGCTTCGTCATTGAGATCTCCTATGTTCTAGTCTTCTTCCTTTATGCTCCTTGGAGCAAACGTGTGAGCCACCCACCGTTCACATGTATACTTTCTAAAGTATATGTCTGGTTTCACCTTAGAAAATACCATAACCATAAAGCTATTATGGTTTTGTATTTTTGAACGTGAAACCAAACACGTGCTTAATCTAATCACTCCCGTTTTTCTGGTTGTTAACTAAATTAATTATCCCATTTCAGAAGAAGATCCTACTTGTCCTTTTGATCGAAGCCATATACTGTGTGGTATTGGTATTTTGCATCCTGCACTTCGTTCACACCCTCAAGCAAAGAACCTTGATTATTGGGATTATTTGTATCGTGTTTAATATCCTTATGTACGTTTCACCCTTGACGATCATGGTATGCCTTTTAATTGTGTTATAATATTAACTCTGTCTTACATTCTTCTTGTCTATGCTTGTTTGATGTATTTCTTACAATGAGCAGCGTTTAGTGATTAAAACGAAGAGCGTGAGGTACATGCCTTTCTTGATTTCGCTTGCTAACTTCGCCAATGGAGTCATCTGGGTGATTTATGCTCTCTTCAAATTCGACATCAACCTTGTGGTAATGTGTCTGTTTCAACCTTACATTTCAGTGTTTCATGGTCTTTTCAAAAGGTTAACCATTGGTTTGATGTCTTGAATATCATCAGCTTCCCAATGGATTGGGAGCACTTTCCGGACTGGTGCAGCTCATCCTCTATGCCATTTATTACAGAACAACCGATCGGCGAGACGAAAATTCACAAATCGCTATGAGCAACGTCTAATCACCGTTTGGATGCCCAGAAATACCATTTATGAGAGCGAGTCCTCAAAATATTGTTTCATACCGTTAAAATTTTGGTCATTCTTTGGGCCATACTACATGCATACACACAAGATCTTATCACATAGAAGCTTAACAATTCTGTATCACTTTATAACTCAAATCAAATGACAACAGATTTTTCTCTTTACATAACAAAATGGCTCCCTCTATTACAAAGTTTTCAAGTGTGCAAGTGATCATACTACTAAATGTAATCACCTCAGTCATGAGTGTTACATTATAATAAAGATCATACATATTAGTTAAAATGACAAGCTCAACTTAATACCCACATTCTATAAAACCAAACCACGGGTGAAAATGAGCAAGAATCTAAGGAAAAAAAGGGTGTATCTTATCATTCCTATACCCCCTACTGTATATTCCTCCCTCAAACTTGGAATCGTTTTCTGTTTTCTCACCATAGATACATAAATCACTATACCCGACCAACTAATCGTTTGTTGAAAAACTATGGATCATGGTCCTCTGAACTTGCGGAAGCAAAGACAACCTTGCTGTTGATCAAGAGGGATCATGCCTCCACCTTTTGACGTGTCAATGGCTTCTAGCAAGGAAACCACCTCATCCATCTCCGGCCGCTTTTCAGGATTGGCATCCCAGCATCTCTTCATTACATTTGCCAGAGAACTTGGGCAACATCTTGGTATCTCCGGTCTCAGATTCTTTGATTCCCAAACCAAAAATAATAATAATAATAATAACATTATCAAACTATATCAAAAATCACATGCTGCTCAACAGGGATAATCAATTTGAACAGAAAAGATAGTTTACCTGACGGACAACGGCTGTAGTAACCTCTGAGAAACTTAGGTCAGGGTACGGCATGTCACAACAATAAGTCTCCCATAAACAGATGCCAAAACTGTACACATCACACTTCCTGTTATAGGGCTTGCCATTTAACACCTGCATGATACCACCACATATGGAAAATATGTGAATAGTCAACTACACAATCTCTCTCTTTTATCTTTTTTTTTTTAAAAAAAAAAAATCCTCATAATTTTCTTTTCTTTTTGACATGTTGCTTGCCCCACATTAAGGCCACCATTTAAGACATAACTTGTGTACAGTTATCAAAGTGTTTGTTATCACATTCTTTAATGAAGACCTTACCAGAAGAAGTAATAATGTGGTGCTAAACTGTAAAAGATACACATCCACGTATTCTAGTTGCATTACAAAATATGACAGTGATAACATATATGCAAATAACTACACATGAAATTTTCATATGCAAATGCCTTTTTTTTTTTTTTTTCCAACCAGCTTTCATATGCAAATTCTAAAAGTTTCTATAAGCTTCAAACCTCTGGGGCCATGTAACCAAGTGTACCAGTCTCCCCTGTCATGTCATTAGGATTTGAAGCCTCAACACGTGCAACCCCAAAGTCAGCAATTTTAACTGTGCGTGATTTATCCAATAACATGTTCTCTGTCTTTACATCCCTATGGACAATCTTTTGAGCGTGAAGATAACTCAGCCTGAAAAATCAAATGAATTTTATTTCCATGGTTACGTAAGAACATTGTAAGCCATTTATTGTTATCAAACTGCCGAACCACAATAGTCCATAGGAGGAGGAAGTTGTGAAGGAAAATTACCCTCTTGCAAGATCTAGCACAAGCTGGATGACAACTTTAAAAGTTAATTTCCTTCTCCTGTTTTTTATCAAGTAAGATTTCAGTGCACCCCCAGGAAGATATTCCACAACAACACAACAGACATTGCTTGGCATACTGATTAGCCCATTGTCAGTTTGTACCTGTAGTTCTGATGACCCCATTGTTGCTCCTATAAACTAGAATGAAGAGCAAATTGAGTAAGAAATTAAGGATAAAATAGACAAGAGCAAAGTGCCCCTTCAAAAAAACTGCAAGCTATCCTAGATGGAACACAAGTGAAAATTTTATAATGACAGAAGGGGGCAAGGAGCTTCCTCCTCAATATCTGAAAGCATCTTTGTCCCAGAAAAGAATTGAACAAAGACCAGCAAACCCACTGATCAATGGACTTTCATCTGATGAAGTATAAGACATCTTTTCTTAATGTCAGAAAGGTGGAAGTTCACCAAGGAGAGAAAATGCTCATAAGCATTTCATTTTTATTTTTTTTTATAAGAAAAAAGAAAAAACTAACTAGGTAACAGTACTCAAGTCCCGCTGCATAACTAAGACTAGACCAGAGGGGAGAGCAAAAATAGGATGAAATCCATCAACACACGACAGGGCCTGCAACTAAAAATGTTCATAGGCATTTCATTAATTTTATTTTCAGAAACTTATCCACATTTTTGTAATGCTGATTTAACTAAAAAAGCATGCTTGTGCAACAATACTTCTGCAGGACTTCTCTACAAGCAGCCTCAAATTAATATTAATATATTTTAACATCAAGTCTCATACCATATGAACTCATGTTTCAGAACTTATACCATTCTTTTTCATATCCTATATTAGACTATCAGATTATAAATCAAGATGGCAAGAACAATTTTATATCATTCCCCTCTGAATGAGGAGATTCGTCTATAAAATCCATAGCACTATCCAGAATACCACAAGGGCAGGCACTCTGGAAACATCGTGCTCTTAATCTATTGATTGAAGATTTGAAATAAGGTAATGAAAGCACTCAATGGCAAATCAAATATCAGTCCATAATTGCGAGAAAAAAAAGGTTGTGAAAGACAACATTGACTTCTACTCAAACGTCGAACTTACGTGGAGGGAAGAGGAAGCAACTCAATCTTCAGGAAAACTACATTTTTGGTATGCTAGATTACCAAGGAGTTCTTATGAGTTACAACAAAGAGGAAGAATGTATAGCCTTCTTTGTTACATCAAAGCCCACAGGCTTGACCAACAACAACAATAAAAGACTAGGAAAAAAAAGCTGAATTTCATAAAGTTATAACTGACCTTAGTGACATTGGGATGATCAAGTTTATGCCAAACAGCAACTTCCTGTATAAATGCAGCCCTAAGTGCAGCAATTTCAGCTTCTGTCCTTTGGCCTTCTTCACCCCAGTCCAGCAATTTAACTGAGCATAAGGGAAGCAATTACAATGATTGATACCAGCTATACGCAGCAAAGTATTACCAATTTAATTAGAAAAGTACCCAAGCAAATAATATGTTATTCCAATGTCCAAATTATTGGGTTCTGTCTTGGACTAGAAGAGAAAGTAAATATAGGCTCTTAGATGTTGTTTGTGGTTGAACACGTTGTTTTATTACATCAACAAGACCAACACACCAAGACCGCCAACTGCTGATTTCTGGGTCCGCCCAGGGAACCAAGTTACCATAGAGAATCAACAGCAGAACAAATTCTGAGAGAGACTTGGGGCATCAGTTCAACAAGTCCCTTTTACTTGTATACTCTTTCCGAAATTCAATATTATACAGAAAGTTCAATTTTATCCAAAGTAAAACTTGCCACTCAAAATGGCATGCTAATACCTACAAGGTCCACATGCCCTTGTATCCCAATACCAACTGGGTTCAAAACTTCACATGATGTAACAGATGCAAAATATCATCCGGTTGCTGTTTCCACAATTTCAACTCCAGTCCGTGTAGGGCTCACGGATTTCATAAGGATGAATACAAAACAGCCCATCTCCAATCGTAAAAGTCAACTCTTCGACAATAAAAAAAAAATATCTCTCCGCCGTTGTGAGGAAGATTAAGCGGGAGCAAAAATGACAAATCTCCGACACCCAACAAAAAAATCGAAGCGATAATTTTGCTGAATCAGTTCAGAATAAATTGTCATTGCAACAGTAGCAAAAAAAAAAGAGCTTGATTTTTAAGGAAAGAGGACTTCGACATGAACAGGCGGAGATCACAAAAAATATTGGCTCAAAAATCATCGCCAAAAAGGGAGAGGGAGACGGGTGAAGTGAAAGGTGGGACTGACCGGCGACGTCTTGGCCATCGTAGACACCACGGTGGACAGTGCCGAAAGTGCCACGGGCGATAACTGACTTGATAATGAGCTTGGAAGGGTCAATCTCCCAATCCTGCCTTTGCTTCCTAAAGGTGGACCCACCCTTAGGTCCGATGGCCCTAGGGCTGATAACAATATTAGTAGCAAAATCATCATCTTCTTTCCTCTTGTTCTTCTCCATAGTCAATGCCCTGTTCATGTGTCTCTCCAGCTGTTCGTCTATGCTCTTGAGATCAATTTGATCCGCCCTCACAAACCCCTCGCTCCCCTCCTTCATCTTCTTGCTCCTTCTCGTCCTTCTTCTACTTCAACCTTTTTCTCTGTGTAATATGGTTTACAACAGAGAGGACGAAATAGAGTTGATGTTGAGACAATTCTTCAGCTTCTTCCCCTTTCTCTCCGCCTACATGCGACGGCCCCTTCAACCATCGTTGTGAACATCTTCAACCGCTTGCCATTTTCGTCGCCTCTTGTATCCATATATATAACCATTGACTTCCTCGAGCTTTGGGGCGCTTTTAGGTCTCCCACCACTAATCTCCGAACTAAAGAAAAAATATATTTTTGATTCGTTACATTCTACTCACATTTTATTATAAATTTTAAATTTTTTTAAATTTTTAATTTTAGTATTTTTTAAATTTTTTTTAAATCTATACTTTATTCATTTAAAAATTTAAAGTATTAAAAAAAATATAAAAATTTAAAATATTAAAAAAATATAAAAATTTATAATAAAATGTGAGTGAAATAGAGATCTTGAATTATATTTTTTCCAAAATCAATCCGCGGTTGCTACGCCCTTGTCCCCGTGTTGGGGGAAGAAAATTCCCGTGATACCCATTTTTTGTGCAGGCGTGCAAAAAAAACAAATACCACCATATGCATTTTAATTTTTTTTCAGCTGAATGAGTATGCCATAAGGAGATTTTATAAATGAAATAAATATTCATGATCTTTTCTCTATTATGAAAATAATATTCTCTCCATCTCAAATTATAATATAAATAAAATTATATATAATAATAAAATTTATTAAATATACTTTATAACTTTATTTTTTTAAAATAAAAATATAAAATTTTAAAAATAATTTTATTTTATAAAATAGTATTAAAAAAGATAATATAATGAAAGGATAGTATTAAAAAATTATTATTCATAAAATTTTATTTTTATTAAGGCGTTTTATATTTTACGATGTTGAATCCTTTTAAAAAATGTTTTATAATTTAAAATGAATGGGGTATTATTTCTCCAGGAAAATTGTGCATGAGGATAAAAAAGGGATATATTTGACCCAAAAAAATCAAACAAAAAGAATGAAAGAAATATAATGTTTCAATCAAATGAGGGATTTTGATTTGAACCATGCAGATTTATAGTTGAATTTCAATAATTATCAAATAGAGATTCTTGAAGGACTCTTAAAATTCAATAGTATATTTTAAAAATAAGCTTAGGTAGTATTTGAATTGATTAATTTGAATTTAAAATACCATGTTTCAAATTCATATATTTAATTTTTTTGTTTGAATAGTTTAAATAACAAAAATTGTTACTATTATGTAATATTTCGAAGGTGCATGTGAAGATTTGAAAATGACAAAGGTTTGCCAATTCAAAAAAGATTTAAATTATTAAATAATTAAGATAATATTTGGATTTAGATTTTCCAAATCTTTAAATTTTTTAGAGCCCGAATAAAGGATTATATTTAACCCAAATATAAATTCACATATAAGGGTGTTTAACCGTTCAGTTCAAATTTAAGGAAAAATCAAATTGAACCAAACTAATCAATTTTTATGGTGTGGAATCTATTAGATTTTTCCATTTAACTAGTTTGGTTCAATTTTTAAGTGATTTGGTTCGATTCGATTCAATTTTTAAGCGATTTGGTTTGATTCGATTCATATTAAATCAAATTTAAAAATTTTTTAAGATATTTTTCATAGTCATCAATATGTGTTCATGTTTATTATTAATAATTTTCAACTACTAGTTACTTTTTACAATGAAAAAATCTCTAGAGCATGAAAGAAATTTTTTAACAATTAACTAGCATGTTTAACTATTAAAAATTAATATATTATCTTTAAACACTTGACTACAAAAATTAAAAATTATCATGGATAATTTTAGATAATATTTAGCTAATTGTAACATATTTTTACTAATGATTTATAAATAACTAAATTTTTAAACTTAGGCAAATTTATTAAAATGTATATAATAAATATAATAAGGCTTAGTTTGGTTTGGTTGAAGTTTTTTAAAATAAAAACTTAAATTAAACCAAACCAATTAATTTTGTCTAACAACAAAATTTAAATTTATTTATAATTAATTTTAATCGATTTATGTGGACTTGGCTCGATTTGATTTAATATAATGGATTTATATTGGCTTTAAATTTTCTTATTCATCTGTATTCAAGCATAACATTGGTAATTCTTCCATAATTTCTCCCTCCCCTCCCTCTCTCGATAGATCCTTTTGTATAAATTCCCCTATTATTCGTTTGAAGGTAGAAAAGTTTTTGAATTGGCAATGTTTTATTTAATTATAAACCAGATTAATGGAACTTGGATTTATTGCAGTCAATTTCGCGATTTCTGGACTATAAAAATCAGTCATATAGATACGTAATTCTCGTGATAAAGGGGGAAAAAACATTCATTTGTCCACAACAGTACTATAATACTACTCCTCTATCTCTTTTTATAAGAGCCTGTCTGAAGTTCGAGAAAGAATTATAAAGTATTTTTAATATATCCTCATTAAATGAGTTAAGAATAACAAAAGAACAGACTTTTCATAGAAAAAAGACATTCAATTAAGAGTAGAATTGAAAGTAATAAAAAAATTAGCACGTCAACTACTTTCTCAATCTCGGTCTCCGTTTTCTATAAATGTGAAGGAAGTAACTACTTATCAAATTATCAATTCAATCCCAGATAAATAAAAAAAAAAAACCAACACGTACTCTCTAAGTTGGAGAAAATAATACACTGGTTACATTGATTGCCATATTTGTTATATAAATAAACAATTTTACATAAATGTTCACGAACCACAACGACAAACCTTGAGGGTTTCTTCATATTTCTTTGTCTCAAATTATAAAATATTTTTTTAAAAAAAATTTCGTCTCAAAATATAATATACTTTAAATAAATTAAAATTTTATTAAATGCATCAATTTTAATATTATCTTTATTCTCTCTATAATTAATTTTTATTTTTTTTAATATATTAAATGATGGATATTTTTAAAAGTTTATATTTTTATTTTAAAAAAATAAGGTTGTTAATTATATTTGATAAAATTTATTAATATATAAAATTTTATTTAAAAATATTTTATAATTTGAGATGAAGGAAATATATTTTTTTCACTTATTGACATGTTCAATCCGGGCAGGTACTCGTGTTATGTGCTTTTATAGTAAAGGGCTGGTTGTGTGGATAAATCAGCAGCAAAATTGCCTAAAATCCTGAGCAGCTCTAAAATGTATTCTTAAAAGGTAATTTTATTTGAAACAGTTTCTGACATATAAAAATAAATCTTTTAAAGAAACTAACCCCTTATAATTTGTTGAATTGAAATTTAAATTTGTATTAAAAAATACATTAATATTCAATGTTTGATTATATTTTGAATAAATTAATTCTAATAAAAAAATATTTATGAGTGGTCAAAATAAATAAAAAAATCCTTCCAGTTGAATTTTTTTTTTTTTTTTGTGCCAGCAGCCTTTATCTTGAAGTTTAACATCGCAACCTTCTTACACCCCATGTTACTTGTAATGATTGTATTTTTCTCACACAGAGGCATGCCCTAGCGTATGGATCGTATAGTTACACGCATATTTTTTAAATGGAAACATGCTCATGTATCATGCATATACAGACCCTTTGTTTGTAAACATGCTTATGTATCATGCATACATAGACCCTTTGTTTCAGCAAAATAATGCTATTTTAATTTTTTAATGAATCTTTACTTAAAAGGTAGAGTAGGGATTGATTATTATTATTTAATTATTTTTTTCTTGTTCATTCATGATCCATATGCCAATCCATTGAAATAGACTATTCTGACCCTATATTTAGTTGGCGGGTAACTATAATTAAGAAAACAGATGGGGCAGCCTTGTAGGATCGACCCTTGACAAGCTTAGACCTAAAAGAAATAGCCCTTTTAAGTTTGAGTTTCTTTTAAGACTTTAATATACGAAGCTCGGCTCTCGATATAGCGGGCTCAAGATCGGCCTTATAGGCTCCAGGCCCTTTTAATTATTTTTATTTTTTTAAATTTTTTAATCAAGTAAAAAATTACTTCATTTCAATATAATACCTAATAAAAAAAAGGTACCAAAAAACTAATCAAATAACACCTAAATGAATTAAAAACACAAATGAAATGATAGCAAGGCAATAAGCAATGGATTGACTAAGCCAATAAACACCAAGTTGATATTAGATGAGATTAAGCCTTGTAAGACTGAGATATGAGACTAGGAGATCGAGAAAAACAAAGAGTATAGGCATAATATGTGCATCAAAAAGAGCTTGGCTCATGAGTTGCAAATGCACAAATATGATAAGTGACATGAGAACTTGAGATATCGATGACAACAAGCGCCGACTAGTCAAGCATTGTTGAGACTTAGTTCTTAGGAGGGAGCATTATTGGAGTGAGCAATAGGTATGACTGAAGAGTGAGCAAGATCAGGAGCCAAGATGACTTGTGAGTTACGATGATGGAGATAGGGATGACGATGCGATGACTTACTAAAGAACGAGGACAACTTATAGCGACAAAAAGGAGATAAGCATATTGAAGAAAGAAGAGTAACTGTTGAACTGAATGAATTATTAACGTGAATCTAGATGAATTAGGAGATTTAAGGTTTTTTTTGAAAAATAGCAACCAAGGATTTCTATATAAAATTTATATCAATTAAGAACCATTGTTGTCATAACCTGAATGGAAAATAAGTTACAATGAACTGTTATTAATTTAAAATGAGTTGTTATTAAAATCTGAATAAATACTTGTTGATAAAAGCTAACTCAAATTCACAAGTATCCACTTAAATTTTGACAACAAATGTTCCTTAACTGATATAAATTTTAATCAATGATTCTTCGATACTATTTTTCCTTTTTTTTGGCCTTCCATCCTCAGTAGATATGGGTTGACATGTGATGTGAAATAAGATTTAGTTTAATTTTTTTTCAAATATAAGAAGAGTGAAAGTCATGAAAATTAATTAAAAAAATATGCACATGCAGGCTTAAACGGGTTAGCCCATTTAAGCTCAATTTATTATTTTAGAGTCATATTTATATGCCGACCCTATTGTTATACAGGCTTAAATGGGTTAGCTCTACGAGCTTAGCCTTTTTTCCCAACTCTATGGATAATAGATTATTCTAACCCTATGCTTAGTTGGAGTAGAGGGTAGTTG